ATCACAATACCAGAGTGGCGAGTGCGCACTGGCGTCGAGGCCCATGATCACCCTTCTGCCCTTAAGGCAACTCAGGGCGACCTCTAAGTGGTGCAGGTGGTCATCGATGGTGTCGCTAAATTTAAAGTACGCTAACACCACATAGAGGTCCCATCGGTCAACATGGCACACCACACAAAATTCGTTCCTGAGGTGGCTCAGCACTGCTACCCCAATTGCTGGGTCGGCAAGATAGATGCCCGCCCACGGGTGACAGCCCACCTGAACGATCCCCGCAGCCTGGGAGTACTGTTCTTGTACAAGAACAATGTCCAGGTGCAGTTCACGCGCCAGGATGGGCAGCTCAGCCGCGGCGAGCTCTCCTCGACCCAGGTTGATTTGTCCTAATCGTAGTGCCTTGTCTTCCTGGTTAACAATGGGGCTGCCCTTATCGGCAGTACTGAGTTGTGGCCACGGACCGTTGCTCTGCATACAGCCTTGCTGGGCAGTTCCTCGCCATGGTCACGTGCGAGCCAGAGTCAGTTCTACCAAATCGCTTGCACGTAACGCACTTCTCCTCCGTGGACTTGCAGGTACCACGTTCATGACCTGCCTCTCGACATTTCCCACATACGACCTCATTCGATCGGCAATACTTCGCAGGATGCCCATACTGTTGACACCTCTGGCAGCACGTGACGTCCACGTAATCACACGGCTCAACCACGTCCCAGCCGACGTATAACCGGTTGTATCCGATCAAGATATCTCTCAAGGCAGCCGAACATTGAAGGATCACGGTTGTCCTTCTGCTACCTCTCCAGGACTTTTTGAAAGCAATCCTGCAGTTTTCTTTCACTTTTGCTTCGGTCCATCAACAAGCAGAAAGGTTCTGCTCGTAGAAGCCGCTGATTACATCCTCATTCTTGGGGTCCTCCTCAAAACCCCTAAGAGCCACCAGGGGTAAAGAGATGGGAACAGTATTCCATGTGAGGCCGAACCTGCGCCTTGTAAAGTTGCAGGCGGTGTGCCGGCATGAAATACTGTCCCGCTCTGCTGAGCACGCCAAGCTTTTGAGAGGTCAATTTGGCCTTGTCTTCCAAGTGACCACGAAACTGCACGTTACTCGATATGTCGACTCCGAGGATACCGATACTGGCTGAGGCAAGAAGGGGAGTGCCTTGAAACTGAGGAGATACGAAAAAGGGGTTCTCTTTAGCGGTTGTGTCTTCTGACTTGTGTCTTCTAAGGATTAAACAGGACTAGATTTAGTCGCCCCCAAAATCCGAGACTTTGTTCAGCAAAAACTCGACTTCAGACACAAGTTTGTTCCGGTACTCGGCGACGTTTTCCCGAGAAATATTGGCACGGCCGGTGTATAGAGCATCACCAGTGCTGTCATCCGCATAGCAATGAATGTTACCAGTTAGCAACATATCATTGATATGCAGAAGAAACAGCGTCGGTGATAGCACACAGCCTTGTGGAACACCAGCGTTAATAGGCTTGTAGTCAGAACATGCACCGTCTACAACGACCTTGAAGCTCCGATCTGCAAGGAAGCTGGTGATCCAATTGCACAATTTCTCGGGAAGCCCATAGGAAGGGGGCTTCGAAAGAAGCACTTTGTGCCAAACCCGATCGAAGGCCTTCGCAATGTCCAGACTAACGGCCAACGCCTCCCCCTTGGACTCTACTGCCTCCGCCCATCTATGGGTCAGGTAGACCAGAAGATCACCAGCTGATCGACCCCGACGAAATCCGTATTGGCGGTCACTAATCAGCTGGTGATCCTCAAGGTACCGGATGAGCTGGCGGTTAATAATGGATTCCATTATTTTGGAGTACAAGGAGGCGGTGGACGGGTCTGAGCAGTCGCCTTTTTTAGGGATCGGGTGGACAAAAGCTGTCTTCCATGAGTTCGGGACTACGCCTTGGGAGTAGGAGTACCGGAAAAGACGTGTTAAGACCGGTGCCAACTCCGGAGCACACGTCCTCAGCACAATTGGGGGGATTCCATCAGGCCCACTCGACTTCTGGATGTCCAGGGAGAGAAATGCTTTGCGAACCGAGTGCTGTGAGAACAGCACATCCGGCATGGAGCACTCACACCGCGGGATGGTCGGCGGTGTTTTCCCCCCCGTCATCAAGAGTCGAGTTGGATGCAAAGAGGGAGCCTAAAAGGTCGGCTTTCTCTTTTGCGTCTTGGGCCAGTGAGTTGTCCTCCCTGTGCAGAGATGGTAGTGATGGCTTACAGAAATTCCCTTGGACAGCCTTGGCGAGGGTTCCCGAAGGAAGGCGCACTTGTTTCTGCCTATGTGCTCTGACTTTGCCTTGGCAATAACTCTTTTGAAGGACCTGGAGGCGAAGTTATACTTCTTTTTAAGTGTGCTGGTGTTTACATTCCAAGTCATCGAAGCCGCAGCCCAGGCTTGATAACACTCCTGCTTACTGCGTAATGCAGTCTTACAGGAGCGAACAAACCAAGGCTGAGATCTGCCTCCGATGGGTACCACAGATGATGGAATAAATAGTTCCATTCCCTGTAGCACCACATCAGTGACAGAGTCAGCAACAGCGCTGGGATCATCCGGCGAGAAACAAACCCGCCCATGGGTAGGATGCAAAGAAAGACCGCATTCCGTCCCAATCCGTTGACCTGTAATGACAAACACGGCGGCAACCTGCAGAACGCAACCGCGAGGGGAGCGTGAGTGGCACCACACTCCGGATCAGACAATGGTCCGAAGAGCCGAGAGGGGTATCGACGGAAACCTGATATTCGTCCGGATGAGAGGTCAGCAGAAGGTCCAACAGGGAAGGTGTATGATCCTCCACATCTGAAATCCGCGTAGGCGAAGTAACCAGTTGTGTCAGACCATATGCCAAGGCAAAGTCATAAACAGATCTCCCCGCATGATCGATTAAACGTGAACCGAACCATTCAGCGTGGTGGGCGTTAAAATCGCCAAGGATCACGATCTCTGCGGATGGGACCTGTTGTAGCAAGGAATCTGTAGTCATTTGAACGTGGTCGATGAGTCGGTCTGTTTCGGCATTACCGCTATGGGACCTATAGAGGCACCTGTAGACGCGCGGATGGTTGTCGCTGTCTACGTGTAACCAAATGATGGACAGGGCCGAACCTTCAAGACTGCCGAGGCGTCGAGAACAGATGTCCTCTCTGACATAGACGCAAACTCCAGCCCGAGGCACAAAGGAGTGCTCCAATTTGTACCCCGGGTAGGAGAGATACGAAATATCAGCCGGAGAGGAAACCTGCGTCTCGGTCAGAAAGAGAAAGGCCGGCTTCGCCGTCTCGAGATGGTAGTGGACGGCGTTTAGGTTAGAGTGAAGTCCCCTGATGTTGCAGAAATTCACGGATAGCGTGGCAGGGGTCGCCTTGGTATTGTTGCTCAGTTTGCCCCGAGCAGTTATGTTTTTGAGCGGAATTTTGCCTCCCCCAGAATACGCGGGGCAGCCTGAGCACCCACGCTCAGGATTGGAATAACATGGTCGTGGATGCTCAGCGAGGGATTCTGCAGGGGTACTGGTACCCTCCTGGGGTAGTCTGTTGTGTAATTCCGCTACCATGTTGATAGGAGGGGGGGGGGGGAATTGGGCCTCCGGTCACCTGCACTCACCAGACGAAACGCAGAAGCAGAGCTTCTACTTCACGCCGGTATTCTGTGAGGTCATGGTACCAACCCGGCTCGAGCCGGCCCATACGTGCAACAGCAAAAACTGCTGCGTGGCTCTACCACCGTTAAATGTCTTACGTCCTTGTCACACTTACACAAAATATGCTATCCAGCTTTCACAGTAATTTTTCCATGTTTAACGCGTATTAGGTTAGAATAGTTTTTATTTATTTTTTCGATAACGGTGTATAACCTTTTAATGTGAGTGGTTATTATTTTAATGTGAATGGTTGGCGTATAAGATAAATCTTCATATTTATAAGTAGTAAAGCATAATTATAGTTTCTCTAAAGATGTATTAGGTAGTAAAGGACAAATTGGTATTCGTTTAAAATCTAGTATGTTCGTAAAGAATAATTATGTGCTTTAGATCCTAAATCTTTCAGTACCTATACTCTACAACTTAGGCGATTAGTCATAATGAATAATTTGTGATTTACAGCCATAATTCACGTTAAAACTGCACTAAAAGCCCTAAAATTTTGGGTACTAAAGAAGATTTTTTTCGAAAATTTCGCTATTTTGAAAATGCCGTGCGATAGAAAAAGAAAAACTGATTAAGATGGTGTAAATAATTTATAACATACAACTTATAACATAGCCACGTAGCTTAGGTAAGAAAGGTAATAAAAAATCGACGACTTAAATAAAACCTAATACTAAAACTAAATCTAAAATGCATTATATAAAGTCGCGTTAAAAGTCATTCTAATGTTCCAAGTAGTTATCCAACTTTATCAACGTGACAAACTCACGATTATTTTTGGTAACCGGAACGACGGTCACGGTTATTTAAAAATAACCCCAAGTCTCTTACGAGACCCATGGGATGGTATGGATATTCATACACCGCCACTACACGGTAATTGATAACTTCTCAAAACATTTTATTTATGGCCAACGTTTTGCAATCGTAAATCCTCTAGCGCTCACTTGACCTTCATACAAATTATGCGATATTTTAATTGTTGATAATTTTTTATTTTTGGATAAAAACGTAGTATGTAATGACAAAGTTAAAACTTCATTAAAAAATATTGTCTTTGGCCTGACGTACTATACTCTTTGGCTTGACCATAGGTAATAATACATAGGTAATAATAGGTTTGACTAAATTGGTTGTGGTTAATGTCGCGGCTTGAGATTGAGATGTTTATTTTCAAGTTCAAGTTATCAACATGAGTTTTAGACCACTGATGTAAACTATTTTTCTTTATTTCAACGCGCCGTCATTTCTATAGTTTCTGATAAATAAAAGTAAGGAAGTTTCTCTTTTCTTACCTCTGCGCTACTTGGACACACTAATAAGAATCAGAAATCATGTTGAGCACTAAAGGGTTATGCCGATATGCAAGTATTTCAAATATTTTTAAAAAGTCACGAATCTTGTATAGCACTAATACAAATTCTAATGAAAATGATGGAACTACATCTGCCTCTAAAAGTGGAGGTTTTGCTAAGGCATACGAAAAACAATCCCATATTTTAAATCAAGACTACAATCAAAATCAAACCTTTTCTTCTTTACTTCGGAAATCAAAGCTCATGGATGTAAGCAGACGTTTTCTTAATTAATGAAATTTTTGTGCAGGTACATTTTTATAGTTTTAATTTTTTTTTCAGTTGGGCGATCCTGTTGGAAAAATTGTAATTGGCAAAATCTTCCATGTAGTAAAAGATGATTTGTATATAGATTTTGGGTGGAAATTCCATTGTGTATGCACACGGCCAACATCTCGAGCAGACGAGTATGTCAGGGGAGCTAAAGTTAGACTGCAGATTAGTGATCTTGAACTTTCTTCCAGGTTTTTAGGCTCTAGCACTGATCTTACTTTGTTGGAAGCCGATTGTAAGCTACTAGGTTTGGTTTCTTCACCAGTTCGAACTAGTATAACTCAAAACCAGTAATTTAATGCCAAATACTAGTATTCATGTTCTAAAGTATGTATTAGGTAATAAATCATATAAGCACCTTAAACTTGATATTTTATTCTTAATTTTTGACCATGTAGTTGCGTTGTAGAATATCCATTACCCCATATTGTTCTGTGGGTATTGTAAGAAGCGACGGAGAAAAACAAACCAGAAGATGGGCAGCAGTGCCTTTCTAACAACAACAACAACAAATAAACTGGTTGCCGATCCGCCTGCCAAGCGTGACAACTATGGTAAATATTCCACTTATGAAGTAATCTATATTTGTTCAACAGTGAACTTAATAAGCTGTAATGGTAATGCTATTAAATGCAATAAAGTGATTTGATTTGATACATGAAATGAAGTGTAAATTATGCCATTTTTAAATACTTCCATCTTACCTTGGCAGGATCTATTAATGTGGATAGTCATCAAATACCATTTATTTTATCTATTTTATGTTTTATCAAGTAAAAATTCCCAAATTTTTGGATATATATAGTCTAGATCACTCCTGGCATTGCTCTAACTGCTTATGAAGTTTCATTACAATTGTACATGGACAGACAAAAACATTTTTGAAATAAAAACTATTTTATTCAATATAAATTATAAATAATACTTATTAAAAGTCACTCTTTTGTTTAATTACCATTGGTTTGAAAAAAACCTCTGTCCTGGGAAGAACCAGCAAGAAACCTAGTGGGACTTTTTTTTAAATAACAGCTCACAATCATGTAATCACAATTAACTCCACAAAACAAATTAGAAATAGCTTGGTAGCGACTAACTCATTCACAGGGGTTATTATCATTCATAAATTGCTTAATATTGTAATAATCCTTTTTATAAAAACTATGTTTAATAAAGTTTTTGAATTTTGAGCAGGTTAAATTTTGTATATTTTCTGGGATTTTGTTGTAACAGTGTATACATTGCCCCAAGAATGAATTACTGACTCTGTGGAGTCGAGTAACTGGTACAACTAGCTTGTGTCTGTTCCTAGTATTTACAGAATGAATATCACTTATTTTTGTATAAGTACCTTTACTTTTGTTTATGTACATTACATTTTCATAAATGTATTGAGAGGCCAAAGTTGATATAGGTATTAATTTCCTTAAATTTTTGTCTGAGTGATTATGTTTTAAATCATAGATTGCTCTTATGGCGGCCCTCTTCTGTAAAACAAATATAATTTCAGTGCGAGTCGCGTGTCCCCATAGCAAAATACCATACGACATTATGCTCTGGAAGTAGCTAAAGTAAACATGTCCAGATGTTTCCACTCTGGTAAGATTTCTAATCTTTTTTATACCATATGCTGCAGAACTAAGTACGCTTGCTAATTGCATGCTGTAAGCGCCTAAGCGCGACGGTATGTACTACTAGGGCCTAAAAATTAAGATTCCAACGTTTTGTCGCATGAAATCGTATCTAGCAATCATATTGTACATATAAGTGATATAAAAAGCACATTGTCAGAAAGATAAATGATTGTTGAATTTATTAATATTTTTTTTTAACTCGATTAATTGCTATTTTAAAATAAAAAAGGGGTTTTAGTGGCTTATGGTGTGGATTTATCAAGTCAGCAAGGCTTGTAAACACGATAACTTTTGAAAATAGCTCAATTATTAGCTCAATAAATTTTTATAACTTCATCTATCATGTGGGAAGCCATTGAATGTAAACGGCAGTTTAATTTTGTTTAGTTTAGTTATAATAAATTTCTTTCGGCTGCGAAATATCGAAATTTTCGGTGTATTCAGCAGCCTGGTATGAAAAATTATTACAAATAGAATAGAGCCTGCGTCACTCAGCACAGAATAAATAATAGTAGTACGTACTAAAAGTAAGTAGTATCAATTTTTTCGTCATGGGTGTCATTTTCATGTTTTTCAAAGGTGTTGAAGCCGATAGGGTTGTCGAAATGTAAATCCAAGATGGCGGCTGCAATAGGTATCAATTTTTTCATCATGGGTGTCATTTTCATGGTTTTCGAGAGTGTTGAAGCCGGTAGAGCTGTCGAAATGTAAATCCAAGATGGCGACTGCAACAGGTATCAATTTTTTCATCATGGGTGTCATTTTCATGGTTTTCGAGGGTGCTGAAGCCGATAATGCTGTCGAAATGAAAATCCAAGGTGGCGGCTGCAATAGGTATAAATTTTTTCATCATGGGTGTCATTTTCATGGTTTTCGAGGGTGTTGAAGCCCGGTAGTGCTGTCGAAATATAAATGCAAGATGGCGGCTGCAATAGGTATCAATTTTTTCATCATGGGTGTCATTTTCATGGTTTTCGAGAAACTTGAAGCCGATAGTGCTGTCGAAATGTAAAACCAAGGTGGCGGCTGCAATATGTATCAATTTTTTCATCATAGGTGTCATTTTCATGGGTTTCGAGGGTGTTGAAGCCGATAGTGCTGTCGAAATGTAAATCCAACATGGCGGCTGAATTAGGTACCTATCAATTTTTTCATCATGGGTGTCATTTTCATGGTTTTCGAGGGTGTTGAAGCCGATAGTACTGTCAAAATGTATTAAACTACTTTAAAAAAATCCGTATAATCATGTTATACGTAATTTTTTTAATGCGCTTAGGGCATGCCCAATTGGATTTACCATTTTTTTTTATATATGCGCGTCTGTTATTCCAAGAAAAATGGTAGTATCGACAAGACTCAGTTCCTCCCCATTTAAATTTACAATAGTATTTAATTGTTTGACGTTTGGAGTCATGAATTTCATACATTTCGTTTTAGTGCCCTTTAAAGACAATTTATTAACATTGAACCAAGTTACTAATTTAGATATAGCATTATTTACTTCGTCATATTTTAATGATTGTCGTTTTACTTTGTACATTAATGAAGTGTATTCAGCAAATAATACTATATTATGGTTATCCCCTACTATGTAAGGTAAGTCATTAATTTATACAAGAAACAGAAAGGGGCCAAGAATTGAGCATTGAGGCACACCCATTTGTACTATCGACCCGGAAGAGCTTATACTATTAATGACAACTTTTTACGTTCTGTTGCTTAAATATGAAACAATTAATTTAAGAGCATTACTTCTTACACCGTAGTGTTGTAGTTTCCTGATTAATGTTTCATGGTGAACACAATCGAAGGCTTTGGATAGGTCACAAAATATACCCAAAGCATTCTGTGAATTCTCCCATGCATTGAAAATATATTTAATCAGCTCAACACTAGCATCAGTTCTCGAGCGACCCCTTGTGAAACCGAATTGATTTTTATGAAGTAAACTTAACATTAAACATTAAAAAAAATTAACATTTGATCAAGAATATTTTTTTCAAAATCTTTCTATGTGTTGGCAGTACAGAAATTGGTCTAAAATTTAAAATGATTATTCATGTCTTATTGACATTCAAATAATCTCTCTCAGAGCAATAAGAGGTTATTTCAATATTAGAGATACTTCAATTTTATTTATGTGTATAGCTGTACACATTTAAAATTTTGGTGACTGCAGTACCAGTCATATTATACTGTTTGTTATTTTGTCAAAAAATAATAGAACAATTAGGAATTTCTCTTATGACATTGAGGTGTTTTTCATATGAAACACATAGATAAGTGCCCATATTTCGAACAATAATTTATAGGCCGTACAAATAACTCTCATGCAGGAATCAAACCTATAATTGTAGTCCCAATACTTGGTACTTCGCTGGTGTGCTATAAAGCAATTTATTTGTAGAGTTAAGAGTGACAATCGAACACACAATCCACCTGATGGTCTTGTGGCTCATAACCACTAACATATATTATTGCTTAAGAATCAAAATGCAAATGTGTGGGCACTCCTGAGGGCTAAGATGAAATGCCTGTTGTTCATACTCACCATACGTAACACTACTGTGTTACGTAATAGCAGCATAATGCTACATTCTGGTAGTATGTGGTGTTTGTTCAGTTGAGCTGACCTATTCATGAGCGTGGCTCTACCATGTATAAAACTACCGTCTTAAATTGCCTCATACGGCATATCACCATTCATCATCATCATTACAGTTCAAAATTCACATCCGTGAAACTGCGTTACACTAAATAACTTTTAAATAAAACACATATTTAACAGTTTAATTAATTGACATCTATATTTTGCAGGCAGGAATAAAATGACGTAAGTACCTAGGTAGCTAATGATAGCTTATACAGTCAATTCAAAGTACCTTCCACTGTAACATTTATCATATTTATTGTCTTTATATTATTGAGATATACATATTGTATTATATAGAACTCCAGTACATTCCTGTAACTTCGAGTAAATTACCTGATGTTTTATATTTATATATTATTTTCAAAAATACAAGCAACTTATTGTAGGTTTTACGAATTAATTTAACACTTGAATGCAAATTAAGTTGGAAATTCCAACTTGGAATGATAAAAATAGTCAAATAGGAATCATATTTAGAATGTGGGTAGGTACAAATGTTATGCGCATCTGCACATCAATATAATCCAGCTACACAAATATCTACACCGTGTATAGGGAGGAAGTGTCTTTACGATAAAATCATGAAAGGAAGAGATTTTCAACTAGACGATCTTTGCTTTGCTTCATAAACTTTGTAAAATTGAGTTAGGTACATTCTTCTCCTGCTTTTTAAACATTATTGCATTATTTATAGTAGGGATGAGCAAGTGAAAAAATATATCGATATATCGTCATCATTTGCATGATGTATTAGGATAAGGTCCAAAATGTAATTACCGACGGTTGGACGAAGATAAAAAAACGACAACCGCACATGAATGTTTTTGTAGCCCCTTTTGTTGCTTCATGTTTTGTCATATTTAAAAATATATCGGAATTTATACGAATTCGATACTCTAACATAAATATCGACGATATATATCGATATTATTATGAGAAAATATCGATATTTTGATATATCGATATTTTTTGCCCAGGCCTAATTGATAGAACAGCACATCTAGGGTGAAAACAGCAGGATAATATGGAAAAATAATATTTGTTTTATTCAAAATGTAAATATAGATCAATTTTTTATATCCGTAAACGGTCTGATTAGTAAATATAAATAAAGAATAATTTTTTTGAAATCTCAGTAAAAACAAAATGAATAATTAATAAAATAATTCTTATATTCTTGCAAGTGAGTCTCGATTTTTCATAATTGGATCTCAAATTGCAAACTTGCTAACAATGAAAACCTAGTTTTACATTTATAACAAAAATAATAATTTTAATAACAGTAGAGAATTTATGTTTGAAATTTTCATTTCAAATACCTGTTAGAATGTCAGAATCAATATTATTTTAACTAGCAGCATACATTCATAATGTCAAGATACATGTCACAATGTCGATTACATCGCTATTACATTTTATTGACTTTTTTTTACAATACAAACAATTATTACTAAATAATGAGAAGAATAATTTACTATTTAATAATATGAGACTATTTGGTATCACAAAATGTTTGCCATAAAAGCTCTTTTCTTATAAATGGCTTATTAGGATACTACAATATTATATATTGTTCAAATTAAATAAATAAGGGATAAGTTTTATCCTTTTAGTTTTATGAATATCAGCTAACAGTTAGGTTATTTATTTATTGTACTTTGTCACCGTTTCTGGAAACGATTTCTTGTATACTTGGATCTTTTACGGCATCATTTGCATCTGGGTTTACCTCAAGAATCGCATCTACCGTCGACTCTGATTTAACTGTTGTTTCATCTTTGTTTTGAGGATGAGAACGTTCCCATTCTTTAAGATACTGGACAACAGCCGTATGGCCGAATGTCTCGGCCTCGTTGAGTGGTTGGCTACCCCAGCGGTCCCGAGGATCATGAGGGACTGAGCATTGCGCAAGCAGGAAATCGACGCAAGACAAATGACCCTCGGCTGCCGCTAGGTGTAGCGCTGTACGCCCGTCATAGTCCGACAATGTCATGTCCATACCGGATAGATGATGTCTGATAACAAAGCATTGGCCTTAAAATATTTATTTCAATTATGAAACACATAAGCTAAAAATATATGTGTACAATGTAACTACTGCTTTGTTAAAGCATGTACACGAAAATCAGTTTCAAGTGGGATGTAAAAGCTTCGTGAACGCAAATTAAGTTGGAAGCATGGTTTCATTTGAAAATATTGAAATATCAAAGCGAAGTTCGAAATGTGTCGATATCATAGACCATAAACTTGTGTTTCACTGTAGCTATACAAAATTTTCATATAGTTACTTGTTATTTGACTATTTATTCAGTGTCTTGAGAGTTAGGTGGCACTGGCACGGGAAGTAGAGACGGATCTGAAGAAGTGCTGACAAACATGATAAAAAATTGTATTTTACGTATTATGTGCATATTTATTATCCTCCAATATTAACATGTTAATTACCTTCTTAAAGCACTAAGGTCACCGCTGGCAGCAGAGAACAAGAGATTCACGATGCTGAGTCCAGTAGATTCGAATTTGTATCGGCGAGGATCTTTTTTGTGGCTAGCATATCGAATATTGTCATATTTATGGAAGTTAAAACGCATAATGAGATCCTGTAAAAGATAGGAACATAAAATGATAATATTAGTTTTTGTTCATGATGACTCATGATGAAAATTTGGAACTTTGCTTAACTTTGTTACGGAATGACAGAAGCCAATAATTCCATTAAAGTATTTATTTATAAAACTACCTCACAAAACTGGAGTCCTCTGCAACTGTTTCCAAGTGGATCAAGAGGCGGGGACCATGTGCAAATGCCCATAACATTCGGAACTACAATGAGCATAGCTCCTGATACACCAGACTTGGCCGGAAGACCGACTTTGAATGCAAATTGCCCAGAGTAATCGTACATGCCGCAACTGTGCATTAAAGATAAAACATTCCTGACAGAATCTGGCCTAAGCACTTTCTCGTCAGTTATGGGGCAGATGCCGCCATTCGCTAAAGTAGCTGCCATAATTGACATTATGTCACAGTTGGCTTCCATTGAGCAGCACTGAAAAGAAAAGCAAAAATTAAGCGAATGTCATAAAACGTGACTGAAAGAATAAAAAAAATGTGCGTGCAACCTTAACCACCATGACCCATAACCTCAATCATCTGTTCCAAGAAGGTGTCCGATTTAGCCACCTCAAGGCTTATTCACATTAACGACAATCACCGAAAGGTATTCGTTGAAGGTCATACACATTTACGCATCAATCTTAAAGTTATAGGCTATATACACGTCCCACGGCTGGGTACAGGCCATCCCTCATTTCTGAGAGGGTTTTAGGACAAGGAAGTGTCCGCCGCGCTGATCCAATGCGTGTTGGCCAACTTCACATATCTTTGAAATTTTATTTTTCTCATTTCTCATACATGCCGCTTTCCTCGCGATGTTTTCCTTCACCGCCGCGCACTTGGTAAACCATCATACCGTAGGTCGTAAGCATCAACCATGGCACATCCCAATGAGGAGTTGAAGGCGATATATGACAATATCTCTAGAAAACAAGGCCCCGGGTGGGGATGGAATTACAGCGGAGCTTCAGGAAGCGGGTGGAAAATGGATACTTAAAGTACTTCAGATGCTCTTTAATTCCGTCTTCCATGGTGGCACTACTTCTGAGCCTGGAGCAGAAGTGTAACTTGTTCTTCAAGAAAGACGACAGCGGTCTTTTAAAAAACTATATACCGTTCTCCCGTATGAGTCGCGTCTACATGCTGCTTTCGAGTATTTCGAGAGTCATTAAGAAACGTTCCACATGCAGACTTGTCCACTTGCCGGTTTCCGAAAATGCCGTAGACCACATATGTATATACCCTTTCGCCCTACAGAAGATCTAAGGTGTTGTTGAAAAGGAATGCCTGACGAAAAGATTGATCGAGAGGTCAATTTCCTCGTCAGTCATTTATCAAAACTTAAAAACAAGAGTGTACCAGTGCATTTTGTCGGTGATGACATGTGCATCTGAGAAGTACCGTACCTATCTCTATATAGTAAAAACAAAGTCGCTTCTTGCCGTCCGTACGCTTAGAATTTTTAAACAACGCAACAAATTTTGGTGCGGTTTATTTTTGTTGACGGTTATTGTTTCATCAAGAGACAGAATGATTCAAGAGGAAGGTTTATATGTAATACATGCATATTATATATTATATAATTGTTCTGTCCGTATTTGTGTCTGAACTCCTCCTAAACGACTGGACCGATTTTGATGAAAATTTGTGTGCGTGATTAAGTTGATTAGAGAATGGTTTATATTACCAATTGAACCTGGTAGGTGGCGTTGTAGTCGAGAGCCAGAAATCAACCGTGCGAAGCCGGGGTGGATCGCTAGTAATATATACTGTCTGAAAATCGTATAAAGGCCTGTTTTCACTTTGATTAGTACGAGTGCAGGTGATTAGTAATTGCGGGTGATTAGTGCAGGTGTGTAGTGTGAGTAGTGTCCAATTCTGTTTAGTGGCTGTGTTTAGTAATTTCAGTTGTTAGCCGTCGACCAGCAAGTATGGACGCACCTCAAGAAGCGCGCTTACAATTGCAAGAAATGTTGAAAAAAAAATTAAACGCAGTGGTGTCTGAAATCGAAGAACTTTTGGAATCGGAACTTGAAAGAACAGTTATTGTCACCGATATCTAATTTGAAAACAACGTCATAACTATCCCTTATAATGAAATCTAGTTTTTAGAACTACCTAACTATTTAGCAACTATTAAAATGTATAGGTTTTTTTTGCAAAATGATTAGTTATAATTTTTAATATATGGCCGGTAGAGAGGCGCCGATGAGGTGCGAGCCTAGAGCGCTTTCGACATTCAATCCGCTTCTGGTGTTATATAATATATTATGCCTTTATTAATTCCTGAATTGGGGATATACACGAGTATAGTATGAATAGAATGTGTAAATTATGAAAAACTAATAATTACCTGAAAGTAGAAATCCATACATTCTCGAAGATTAGTTTTTTCTGGATAACATTTATGCTCGCGCATGTAAAAACCTAGAGCATAATTGCGATCCGCGGCTTCACGCTCCGACAAAAATACAGCGTTATTGAAACTTAAAAGTTCATGGCCAGCGAGACGGCTGAAGAAGGACATGACATAGTCAAACTTTTCCGCCAGTGTCATTTCTGGTTTATCCAGTGTTTTTAGTAAAGCGCATACTAAAATAGCGCCCGCATTTATCATGGGGTTGTGAGGTTTCACTGTTGAAGGAGAGAAAAAAGAGAAAAACATTAGTACAAACATCAACAACGTAGTTATATCGTGTATTTGGCAAACACCGTATTGACTAAATAAACATAGTGACATATTGTTGACGGTCAGACGAGTTCTTTAAATTAAACAATGTATCAACATCGAGTGTCGTTCAGGGATGTACATAGATGTTATATACTTACTGTTGTAATCCAAGACGAGTTCATTAAAATTTCGGCCGCTGGGCTCTGTGCCAATGTATTTATGAACCACGTCAGAGCCTAAAGTCTCTAGAGCCATGGCGTATGTAAGAGGCTTGCTACACGATTGTAGAGTAAATGGCACAGTCACGTCACCTAAAAATACGAAATATATGAATAGAATAAATTATATAAGATTTCGTCTCCTGGGTGCGTTATAGTATGTACGTACGTACGTGTAGAGACAACTACGGGAAACAACCGAAAGATCTTAATATGCTTTCCAAAAGATATATGATATAATAATAGTTAAAAGAATTTCAAAAAAACTTGTATTATCAACATTATAATATAATACTGAAAAAAAAACAACAGCCTCTAATTTTTTGCCGGTTCTTTTTAGAGAAATCGCTTTTCAAGCCGATGGTAGATTTTGACGTTCATAATATGACCCTTGAAATAGGCCTAAATTAAATAAAGTATTTTTGACATTGAGATGGCGTTCACATGGTGTAGAATGCTCAGCCCGTCGATGTTAAGCAGTGTTAAATGTGCAAGACGTATGGTACTGTGAACGTTATTCCGCATGTTTAGTGTGATGATTGAGGAAAATTCTCCCTACGCCGGAAGAAGAAAGAAAAGAAGAATGTTATTTCCAGTAGAGGACTTTTACGGGCTCATGAAGAAGAAGTAAATAACGTGGTAGAGCCATGCTACAGCTATATTATGATTGCAGCACAAATGGGTTGGTTAGACCGGGGGAGGACCATACTCTCACAGAATACCAGCGTAAAAAGCAGTTTTTGTTGCCGTGTTTCGTTTGGTGACTATAGAGAACTGGAGACCCGTTTTACTGGAAACGAGGCATTCCATCTTGGTACTGAGCGGTGACAACGCATCTGCTTTGATTTTTAATCGAGGATAAATGTAGATGTCTATGGGCCACAGCATACACTTACCATCAGGTGGGCTGCGTGCTCGTTTGTCACCCTTATTCTATATAAAAGAAATAAGATATTGTATTTGTGTTAAGTAAGAAATCGTAATCTAGGCATAATCGTTAACTAGTTAAGTATTTAATTATTCTTTCATATAAAGTAGTTTCTGAAAGAGCGTACACGTTAGTGCAGACACGATATTTCAATCTTTGCATAAATTTAAATTAATACAATGCCAATAAAATATTAAATGTTAAAATAATTTAAAATTAAAAAAAAATTGTACAACCGACTTCAATATAAATTATTAAGAATAACTCAAAAACTATTACTCAGACCTTGATCAAATTTATATATGGGACCATATGAGAAGCTGTCAAATAAAAAAGGAATAATCGAAATCGGTTTACCCAGAAAAAAATTATGAGGTAACACACATAAAAATAATATACAGTCGAATTGAGTACCTCCTCCATTTTGAAGGCGGTAGATAATATTTTCATAGGTTTCCTCTAGGTGGCAGAACTCCTCTGGGTGGTAGGATTCCTCTAGGTGGTGGACTTCTTTTCTACCTAGCAATCCGTCTGGTGAAGTACCACCCTCTTACCTAGTTCTGCCGCCAAACAGCAGAGCGTGCACTGCTTTGTTCAGGTTGAAGACTATAAAGAGCCAGTATTTATTCTGCAGGTTGTGAAGTATTCCATCTTTTTTCTTAGAGGTGGCATAGTATCTGTAGCCTTATTTGTTTGAAGCAGGTTGCAGGATGCAGGTGTCTATGGACCGCAGTAGCCGCTTACCATCCGGTGAATGGTAAGTTTGTTTGTCACTTCAATTTTATAAAAAAAAATATAATAAATAGTTTGTCATTATAAAACTTATAAATTGTACTTATGTTCTTACCAATTGAAAATCTTTGTCCGTCGATTGTGCATACACTAACTCCCCAGTTTTCTGGCGATGCTCTAGCAAGTTGGGGTATGTAGCTGGCAACTTTGCCATCCGTGTTACTTTTTGCAGTCCAATAAATTTCTTCTATGTCCTTAATGAAGTCCTGAAAATCTGGTATGACGAACTGACTACGGAAAGCTCTTGTAATTAAAACTATATTCGGTGCAATAACTTCTTTGAATGCTTTTCTATCTAATTTTAAAGTCTCCGGGGAGCCTCCTTCGAAGTTGGACTCCTTGTGAACTTTGTATAAATTGTGCATAACTTCTTTAACACGTGGGTCATTTTTCCGTATACCAGTTGTTCTTAGAGCCTGTAAATAAATACTGCGTTATATATTTTCAATTTTAGTAATTTAACTAAGTGCATTAATGTAATTTTATGATACGAGTATCTAGACACTATTTAGACAAAAACAGATCCAATACATTTGTTTGCTTTAACTTTTTTTTTAATAATTTAGAGATGTACTTTAACTTCCAGGCTCTAACTACTTTATCGTCATCATTTCAACATATTAAAAGGCCACTGCTGAAGATAGACCTCCTCAATAGATTGCCTCACAGCATTTTCCACGCTTGCTTTTGCACGCAGGATGAATATAGCAGTGGATATTCTTACGCGTCACTTTATAGCGAAATACATAATACTTACAAAAAAAAAACTAAATCTTATAAAAGAATAATTCAAGTTTAGTATGTAAAGTATTATCAATAACTGTATTAAGAATAAATATAATATCTTGTTTTTTCATATGGAAATTTAATAAAAACTTACAGCTAAAAATTTTCCAACTGGAAGAAGTCCTGTTTCATCATTTTTGAACATATCAAACAGCACATCGTCAGCATTTTTATGACACCCTTCGCGAACCCTGGGAAATAATGATATCAATCAATATTATATGCCTGCCATATCTTATGCGTGACGATCGCATCATGCATTAAAATGTAAACTAATGATGTTTGTAGGAACAAGCGATTAGCACACTCCACTAAACGATAATGTTTTTTATAAATATTGTTGCATGTATTTTCTAAGTGAATGTATCTACGCATCCTTCGTCATGATCTAATAATATATTTATCGTATAAATCTTGTGTGACGTAGTGAGCGGGTGTGTCGTTGACGTATTCTTCAAAGAGTACACCTAAATTAATAATAGTGTATTTTTCACACAGTTGTTGAAAGTCACCTGACACTCTTATTTAGAGCCATTAATCAACAAACAAAATATCGTAACAGTCCGTATCGTTCGTATGAGGGTTAAGTAGCAAAAAAAAAAAAACACTGTAAAGCTAAAAGTACTTCTATAAATTAAAAAAATATTGCAAAAATAACACATCAGATATTTTGTAAAGTCAATGTTTCAAGTGAACACATTAGTATACTATACTCACTGTACTGGATCGAGGTTGTGCACGAATGAATAGGGTCTGCAGCATGAAACGTTAAGGCACATATTAACTTTTGAATAATATACGTGAGTTATTTCATTGATTGATAGTAAAATATTTCAATACATTTCTTTTGTTTGCGTACGTGCTTACGTACGTGAAAATAAATTTGTATTTGCGTTAAAATGTCAAAGACCAATTGACCAGGCACTCAAATATGGCGCCGCCAAGTTCGTGAACGATGACGACGGGCGTCTAGCACTGATCAATAGAAGTCGATGCGTATCATTAGAAACAATTGATGTTTAATATGGCCTACTCTACTTAGGCCGTCGTCGTTATAAACTTTAGTTCTATTTATACAATATTTTTTCATGTACTAATAAGAAAGAATACGTAACTCACCTCATGTCTATACACTGAGCGGCGTAGAAATTCGGTGTGGAATGACGCCATTTCTGAAACAATATTAGAATAAGATTATCTTTATCGTGTAACCACCACAACATATAACGGGGACAAATGTGGTGTAGTAGAATATATTAATTTTTACGCCACAGTTATAGGAATTCCATAGGCATTGTTTGAGAGGCACATAAAATGGGAACACATAAGACACTCACAGGTCGGTCTATTACATATACTGGTCTCACTTGGCTATAAAGGCGGTAGAAGATACATTCTGGAAACTGTTTCAGTAAGGATCGCGCGGCGACGAGACGGCGAACCTGACGGCTGTTCATAGCTGTAGTTGACGGTAGAAGACGAGCCGGACAGCGCCCTACTGTATACCATAAACGCGCAGGCGCGAACTATTCCCCTGCCCCGCAGTCGCGAGGCTTTTATGTAATAAAACTCTGTTTACCTTTACTACGTTTTATAAAAAAATTATAATGACACCATGTTGAGATAACAGTTTGTGCTACGTAGCAGTGATGTCATATCAGTGTTTTCACTGCTCATTTGCGCTGCATAATAAAAAAAAATTGTAGAACAGACAGATTTTTCAATATTTAATGCGATATTCTTTAAAAACTATATATTTTTATTGATCCTATCTCTAATTTGACTACGCCCTCACAGAATACCAGCGTAAAATAGCAGTTTAGTGCTGCTGTTTTTCGTATGGTGAGTGTAGGGAACCGGAGACCCTTTTTACTGGAAAATAGGCATTCCATCTTAGTCCTCACGGCTGATAGATGTAGATGTCTATGGACCTATCCTATAAAAATTTAGTATCTAATTCTATATCTTTAAACATGTAAGTTATTCATGGGAGTTGGTAAATCAACAATTGCAGTAGTGTTAAACTAGTATTAAACTAGAGTTATCTATACAGGCTTATTTTTCTTATTATTTTTATCTTTTTTATAAGAAACAAGACAAATTAGGATTTCTTTTGTGTCGCGGAGGAAACTCGTAAACATAAACCAGAGATATTTCCGGATCGAAACGACTAGGGACCTTCAAGAAAAGCTGTTTTACAGATTAACTTGGAATATTTTACTCAGCGTTAATTTTTATCTTAACACTAATTGAAGAGCAGTGTTATTACAAACATATAAATAACTATGAAAATACATATTAACGTCTCACTTGCATGGCACACAAATTTTGGTATTAGTGGTTTATTTTTCTTTTATACAAGCTAGGTTTACAATCGAGCACACGTGTGGGACGTGATTTTAAGTGGATCAAAGCAGGAAGCAGATGCGTTATCACCCTAGTCTAAGATGGAATATCTCATAACCAATACGTCTCCAGTTCTTATTACTGAACATAAGGAATACAGTAGCATCACGCTGCTGTTTTATGCTGGTGTCCTGCGCAAGCGTAGTCCTCCCCGGTTGAGCCGACTCATTATAGCTGCAGTTATACAATACGCTCGCAACGTGACTCTATCACTTAAGAAAGATTAGTTTTTTTTTGTAGTAGTTTTTTTTTGTAGTAAGTGATAAACAAGTTGAAAATACTTGTAGTAAACAAATTTAAAATACCAAATGTACTAATTATCAAATCCATAACGTTGGCTCTACACTGCTCTACACGGATTGTCTAACTGTAGCATGGAAGTGATGCCTACGCGTACCCGCCTCGCGGAGGCTAGCAATACATAAGATGGTTAAGAGGGTTAGCAATACATAATTGCAGCAAATTTCTATTGTAGAAAAAACTCAGGTTCACCTGTGCACTGATTACAGGATGATGAGGATGAAAGCATCATCATCATCATTACAGACCTTCAATGTCTAAGTCTACTAATTAACACAGATCTCTTTCAAGGAATGCCACAAAATACGGAATTAGGTAGTAGACGGCAAGGAAAAGCACGTAAAGCCGTTTGTCCTGCGCTTGATGTGTTTCCGATCATGTTGGATTGCCGTCCTACCGAGCTATGAGTGAGTGGAATAAGACAGTTTACCTGTGCTTGCAGTACGGGATTATAATACACACTCGTGCATTGCATTATAGTTCAATACTGCGCAGATGGCTAGTCTCCATTAAGACTTCGCGCCGTGATCGAAATTCGGTTGGGAGAAAATTATTATTTGGTCACAACCAGCGAAAACTCCATTATCCTTACATTAAATAAACACAAAAACAAGAACCGGAGAGCCTTTTTTATTGGAAACGTGGCATTCCATCTTAATCCTCAGGGGTGAAAGTGTGGGGGGTCTTGGATAAAAGTAGATATCTATAGGCCACAGCGTCCACTTACCATCAGGTTTGTCACACTACAAATAAATAAAATTTAAGTGTCTGTTTGTAATGTTAAAATAACAACTTTTTACTAAACGCATATGAAAGTATATACGGTACTAATAACAAAAAAACAAATTTTTAAATTTTTGTCTGTCTGTCTGTCTATCTGTATGTTCCGGCTAATCTCCGAAACGGCTGGACCGATTTTGACGGAACTTTCACTGGCAGACAGCAGATGTTATAAGGAGTAGCTTAGGATACTTTTATTTTAGAAATAGAAATAGGGTTCCGCGAAAAAAATTAAAACCCATGAAATCATAGTAAATTACACGCGGACGAAGTCGCAAAGGAACAGCTAGTTCTATAAGAGAAAACAGAATCCATCCATTTAATGTTATAGGCGAGTTCACAAACAGACGCGGTTATAAGACTGTTTTATATTTAGTATTATACGCTCCAATTTTTTTCTTGTATTTCAAAACACTTACGGTTCTAGTACCGACGGTCATCAGATCTGAATTTAGGGAAGGAATGTTTTTTAAGGTTCCGTACCTCAAAAGGAAAAAACGGAACACTTATAGGATCACTTTGTTGTCCGTCTGTCTGTCTGTCTGTCAAGACCCTTTTTCTCAAGAACGCGTGGAGGTATCAAGCTGAAATTCATATCAAATACTCAAATCTACTGTCCCTTAGAGCTGTGAAAAAATCAAACTTAAGCCAACGCAATCAAAAGATACAGCCGTTTATGCCGTGAATTTTCGACATTGGTAAGGGAATCAAAACCTACAGGGTTCTTCCCGTGAACTCAGAATTTTGAAATTTGGTACGAAGCAACGTTTTATAGTACAGATAAAGGAAAAATTGCGAAAAGCATAAATTTTTAGTTACAACATATAATAAAAATATTTTTAATAATTTTAAACTTATATACCTACAGATTTGTTCGGAACCCTCGGTGCGCGAGTCCGACTCGCACTTTGCCGGATTTTTTTTTGTAAAATTGGCACAAATGGAACAAATGTTGGTAAAAAATAAATCAATTCACTTACGTATTTATTCAGTAGTCTATCAAAAGACCATGTCACAAATTAAATAATATTACTACGAAAACCATGTGTCTGTTTCATTTCCCTGTGTCTTACGACACCCACGGGACCCACTAGACGCGAATAAATCCATACAATTTTAAAGTAATTTGTTTTGAAAATATCAAAAAAAAAAACTTCAAAAATAAAATTACAAAACTTAAACCTTTTGAATAATATACTGAAATTAAAATATAATTAGTGAAATTCATGATTGAAATGTATTAGTAAAAGCTAGCAGCTAACAGTTTTAGCAGATTTTATGAATAAAATTTTCTGTAGAAAAGTATTTAAATTAATAATATTTAAAAATTCAATATCAAAGACTTAGTTAGGAGTGGGTGCCTCATTTTAATGGCATTGGCATTATCTTTTTATCCCTTGGTAGGTAGGTAATGTTGTAACAATTTCAGAAGTCATGAGAAATAAAATTTTGTTTAGATTTTCCATTGCAATAAATGTTGTTTTTTATATTATTATTTAAATGGAACTCTAAATTAATATTTAGAAAACATGATTGGTTTTTAACAATATTTATTTAAGTACTTACAGCCATGGAAATGGTAATTAAAACAACAATACCCCAAATTAAAAAAGCATAATCAACAATCAAAAGTACCTCAAAATCATTGTCATGTTCCATAATAAAACTCTCGTAGCTACTACCTATGGACAAATAACGCATAACAGTTCCAGGAAACCTTAACGATAGCTGCGTTTGAACACGCGAAAATTGATGCAAGGCTAAGCGTGCGATTCGGACGCCGCTTCCGTGCACGCAACACTGAGCCATTCTTTAAGTCTATCGTTTATAAATATACGACTTCTGGGACTGCCAAGATCGACGACGAGAATGTACGTACTTATATTTAGAGAATCTACTGTATTTTACATTCATTTAGGTCAGCGTTCATATTGCTGATTTTTTTTTAATTCTGTATTTTCCTTCTTGTAATGAGATGTTGATGTAGCTTTATGCATAACTAAAATACACTTTTCATGGCAACTTGATTCAATGTTAATAATTCTAAACAGAAATATGGGACATCGTACTTAGAGCGCCACGCATACGCCGAAGTCATGCTCCATGCTCCAACCACAATATTGCTGCGGCATGGCTCTACTATGTAAAAAAGACACACATTTATTTTACTACAAGCACTTTAATTATTGTAGTATGTACATATTTAACCAAATCGTTATATAAAAACATCACTTACCTAAGTATTTTTTTTTATAGAATTAGGGTAACAAACGAACACAGCCAACCTGATGGTAAGTAAATGATATGGTCCATAGACATCTACAGTTATCCCCAATTATTAATCAAAATGCAGAACGCGTTATCACCCCTGAGACTGAGATGGATTGCCTCGTTGCCAGTAAGGGTCTGCGGTTCTCTACACTACCCATACAAAACACAGTAGCATTAATCTGCTATTTTACTTTGGTATTCTGTGAAAGCGTGGTCACGGTCGAACCGATCCATTCGTGCTACAACTTACAACCATAATATTGCTACAGCGTGGCTCTACTACGTATAAGTACCTACATAAATTTTGACGCCTTCATTGTCGTCAATAGTCATTTTATTAAGATTATTATTAAATTTCTCAATAACAGAATTGTTGTGCAACAGTACTTACTCGTAACAATGAGTGTGTGTGTAACATTAAAGTGACAACACTATAGATACACGTGCTTCATAGTGCGTGAGTTTGCTAGGGCAATGTAAAGTCCCAACTTTTTATGGATATGTAATGGCATAATCTAGCAGTGTTATGGTAATTATCAATAGGAAATGTTTATATATATATATATTTTAATTTTTACTTTACACTTCGTTATCTAAACAAATAAATAAAATCGAAGTGTCTGTTTGTAATGTCAAAATTACAGTTTTATACTAAATGCATATGAAAGTATATACGGTATTAATAACAAAAATACAGTTT